CAGACAGACAGACACACTTTCGCATTTATAACATTAGTATGGATGTAAATACAAGATTTTTCAAGGTTCTTTGTTAGCATGGGTGAAAATTTGAACTGTACACCATTTCTTACCTCAAACGATAAAGCTAATAAGGTCTGGTTACCATAGCGCAGACTCTACCTAGTGTATAACCAGACACCCGTGTGTGAAATGTTATTATTATATATATAAGATTATTATATTACTTATATCATTTCAGTGACCATCCAATTATAATAGAAGTGTTGATGATGAATTCGGGAGATAGCCATAGGACCAAGACCAGGATTTCCTAGATGTTAATATTTGATGATATTGGGCTCATTGGCATTTACAAGTTAATTTTTTAAGAAGATAACCCAATGTTTTGTTTCTTTTTTTTCAACAAATATTCAATATTAATCTTATAAAATATAACAAATTACGCCTAGTTAGAACTGGCCTTATATGAATGCATTCTCCAAGAATGGGTATGTAGAAAGTGAATGGAGTTTATTGGCTCAAGACTGTGTATGACAGAAGTTGCTTGAACTTTCCTTATAAGCAAAAATGGAAGGTTAGTTTAAAGACTAGTAGAGATTATTCTAAAATAATAATATTAACCTTGCACCTCTCACACACGGCCTGATCAAATACTAGCCAGAGCCTATACTATAGTATCCAGACTGCTGATATACTTACTATAAATGTAAAAGTGATTTTATTTGTTTGTTAGCTTACACGCCTAAACATTGAACCAATTTAAAAAAATCTTTCACCAGTGAAAAGCTACATCATCAGCGAGTAACCGTGGTAACCGACACACATGTCGTCGGGAGCCGTTACCAAAAGTTAGTACGTATATACATATTTCTAAATACATACATAATTAAAGATAAATGATACCCATTTTTTGCATGTGAAAACCCCTTCGTGGGTTTTCAACTCACGCCGGTTTGCAGCGGGACGGTGTGTCGGAATCGAACCGACTACAACCACGCGGTGTGGAACTCTACGCCTGAAATAGGAGGAATACGGGAGCTGTAAGGACATCCTAACTCGAGATAAATGACACCCAGACACAGAACAAATGATCGTGCTCATCACACAATTATTTGTCCGGGTAAGAACCGAACCCACGACCTCTGGCTTAGCAGTCAGGGTCACTAACCACAAGTTTCCTTCTTTTTAAAGGCACCGGCAACGATTAGACAGCTTTTAATACCTTTTTGATGTAAATGCGACTTCGTCGACGACGATAACTTCGTCTGCGACTTCCAAAGGATTTTTTTTGCGAATGCTCGGTTTCTATTGGACGCGATGTAATGTTATGTACCCTATAGCCTTCCTCAATAAAGGAGCTATCCAACACAAAATATTTTTTTAATTCGAACCAGTAGTTCCTGAGACTGGAGCGGTCAATCAAACAAACTGTAGTTCTTTATAATATTAGTATAGATAAAAAAATGTAAATTATCTCAGGTTACAATTTAAATTTTCAGAAATTCGTTTATCGTGGTCATTATGTTATTATCAAGTACATGGCTTAAAAGTATGAGTTATGTTGAGGCCTCTGAGGGCGGAAGCATTTGTTGTTACAGGCAGTTTGTGTTAATTTTCTCACGCAGAGCCTTAGTCATGGCTGGTAACGTAAGTACCTATTGTTATAAGCACCTCTTTTTAAGTGGGCGGATGACTGCAATTTTTTACTGGTGACGGGACAGTTTTCTGTCACATTGTGTTTAGTTGTTTCTAATCGACACAGAGTTACTATTTCTACAATCTTTCACCTTGGCATCGATAATATTATCAACAAATTGATGTATTAGAAGTTTAAGTTCTGAAACTGAAACAATTTTGTTTTTGGTTCTTATTTAAAATCGTTTTTTATGCAACTTACATTTATTATTTGTTCTTAAACTTGCTCGATACCTGTGACCACAATCAGTATAATTTGGTCGGAAATTTGGACTGCTGATCCGGAAACTGCTGTCATTAATTCACTACACCTTCGGGTAAATTCCCAGGCCTACGACGAAGTGCCATTTGAAAAATTATTAAATAAATTATATAGAATCGGAATACGTGGCACGGCCTATTAATGGCTTTACATCATACTTGACAGATCGACAGCAGTTAGTAGAAACAGAATATTTTAATGAAATTAGCAATGGAATAGAAAACATTCGAACAGACAAAATAAATGTTACAGCTTCAATTACTCAGAGTAGTGTAATAGGATGCCTACTATTCCTCATATACAGGGTGTAAGGGAAGTCGTAACGAATACTGAAACCAAATCACAAATTTGGTCTGTGACCAAATCACAATCACAGGTTAATCGCTGTGACTAAACTAATCATTTCATCATATGATTATGATTTGACAGGAGCAATTTTTTCCATGTCTAGGGACAGCGACAACACACAGTGGAAAGAAACTTACTTGGCCAACAGTTGGACACCATTTTTTTAGACGCTCATACAGCTTTCACAGTCTATTTAGACATACATAAAGTGAGCATGATTTATTGGTTTTAACATTAAAAAACTACTCATTTCGGTAACATAAGCAATTTCACAGCGATAAATTCACATGTCAATTTTTACAATTAACCAATGAAAACGTAACACTTATCAAGTAAAATCGAATACATTGTAGGAATCAGGTTACCGAGCGATAGGCTAGCAACTGTAACCTGTCGCGTTACGCAATTTTCTCATATTTTAGTTTGCCACTTTCTTTGTACATTGCTAACGCAATCAGACGCTTTAACTGGCCGGGCATTCTGACTTCTCTTGACATTAAAATGTGTTTTCTTTAACTAATTCCCGTTTTAAATTTACGAAATCGATTATACAAAAATGAATGTTAAAGCCTAAATATTTCTATACAAAACAACGTAATTTTATTCAATTCAATTCAATTCTTTATTTATGAAGTATAAGTATTACAGTGTACACCAAATCGCTTATATCTATGCTAATTTTAACAAAAATAAACTACATGCTATTTATTTATACAATTGTAAAACTCAGACCAACAAAAAGAAATAACATAATATTTGTAAACAACCAATATTACATAAACTTAGAAACTATAAAATTACTCTTTAACATTTAGATAAATATAAATATGTTCTAAAATTATGCTTATGCTTTGGGAGTCCATTTGGTTTATATTTACACATATTTTAGTTTTCAACAATTTTATCATTTTATCAATCTGCAAACTAGGGATAAAAGATAGTCAGGCAATCTGACATCTTCCCTGTAACGGATTCCGATTACTACTTAAAAAAAATTAGAAGAAATAGAGTTGCCTATGATCCCTGTGGTGACGGATTAAGAAAACGGAATGTCACCAGACCATCCCTATTTATCGCGCTTCATTAAGGAGCCGACTCTAAGGGTGCAAACTTGGCAGGACAACAGCACTGCATTGAGAAGGAAAACTTGAAACAAACCCTATACAAACCAATCTTACCACGTACCTTTACCACGCTGGCCAGCTATTGCCTAAACCTTATTTCTAAGAAGAGGCCCAAGTCCAGCAGTGATTTTTTAAAGGCTGTTGATGATGATGAGAGTTGCCAAACAAGCGTAGTTACTTATCCTACGAGTATTGCAACGGGAAAAAAAATATCTGGCAATCCTAATACAAACGTAAGTATTTTTTGACATAGGGAACAAGAAATAGTAGGAACATTCCGTTGAAACCTATATAACTGGAACTGCAAGACCAAGTGTTACTTTAATATCAAGACGATTTATTATTAGCAATAACAAAATATAACCTATAACCACACAGGGACATAAGGAGGGCAAACGCGGCGCGGGTATCGCAATCTCGCTTCACTCCAGTTCGCACTGAAGATAAGTGTTCTCCACCTACCACAGCCGCCACCCTGATCAAAGCCTCCAGGACTCCGCTCAGAGTTTGAATCTGCCTCCATTTATCTGCAAAATCATAATTGTATTATTTTTGCAAGTTCAATTATAAACTGTGAAAGTGTTTTTTTTTCTGTGCGGAAATAACACCCACCCACCGGTGGCTATGTCGGACTCGAACCGACTAAAAACCGCACACCGTCTCGGGTACAAGTGGCGGGAGAACCAGGTGTACCCCAGAAAAGTGTGAAAGTGACCTGACTTATAATTTAATTAACCAACCAAAGGACAAAGAAGTATAATAGGCACGAGCCTAGGTTCTGTCAATATGTCAACCGATTTAATCATTTTGCGTACACACCACATAGAGATACGAAACTATTTGAAATTATAATGATTCAAATTGCTATGATTTCATTGAACAATCATCAACGCTAATACACAATTACTTTTTCTTATCTCAAAAGTTTACTGGATTGAACGAAAATCTTACTAAGTATTGTAATTGGTTCTGGCGAGAACGAATAAGTGATAACAAATTTATTTACTTGCCAGCAAAACTTAATCATTCGAAGTGACTACTAAACACAAATGAAAACAAAATAATACTATACTAGGTACATTCTCTTTCACACAACTTGCTTGCTAACGAAAGTGCGCTTAGGTAGGTACCTACTCATTTTCCAAGAGATACCTGTACATGTTCGATAATGTACATGTTTTTATGTTGTCATCAACGAATTTCACTTCGTTTTCAATTGAGCGGTATCTGCTCATTAAGTGTTCGGTTTAGAAAGTAAAATAAAAATTCACCTTGTATAAAACACATGGGTTTTCCGAAACTGCTACTATATTAAATGTGTTTACTGTGTTTACTTAAATGTGTTATTAAACGACGCATTTCCAAATAATGACGTATTTAGAACTGCGTCTTATAATCGAAAAAAAAAATGTTTATGTGATAAGTGTTTACGTTTCCAATTAGAAAATTTACATTCTCATTTTCATTTCGACATGAAACGGACAATGTAAATAGATACAAGCTATGACGTCAACTTTCACTTTGTTTGTAGTGGTGATATTATAGTAAATGTTAAAAGATGGTGTCACATGAATACGGTCGGTGTTTCAGCACGGCGCGGCGAGAGCGGGGCAGGGTTGCACTACATTATAGCAAGCGCGGGACATGACCGCTCGAGACGGGAGCAATCGCGGCCGCATGGCGCGGGAGTTGCGGGAAGCGACCTTGACGCCTCACGAGGAATGAATCACGGCAGCGAAAGTGGGAGAAATGTGCTGCCGCGCCCCGCGCCGCTCACTTTTACTTTCCAGTGTGGCGCAACCGACTGCGGCTTGGCGGAGCGCGCGCGCCACTCGCCCGGCGCCCGCGGCCCGCAGCGCCGTCGCGCCGATCCACATACCGCGCTCCCGATACTCACCGCCCGCGCCTGTGACTGTGCCCGGATTACAGTGAAACAACCACACAGTGCATCACATACGATTCAGTTTGAGTGATTCCCGTGGCGAAAGTAGAAACCGGGTCGCCGATAAGCGTTGTGCAATAAGTTGCGCGCGGAACTCGCGCGCGGCCTCGCACTCTCCCGCAGGAAGCGTGTCGCAACCGGGGAAGTGGCGCAAGCGCCGGGAAACCGTCGCGTGCGTTCCTGCACACATATGTACCCTGGACTGTCCCGGTGATATTGGATTTTCTTCTAACATTGTCCCCTGGTAAGAAACATTTTACTATCTGGAGAGCTTTGTCATCAATTAGAAAGTGTAAGGCTGCTAAAGAAAAGAGTAAGTACCGCTGCCTATAGCTACCTATAACATTCGCGCACTGGGCCATCTTGCACATTAATATTAGACGCCGCTCATCGTGTAGAGATAGTGAAGGGGACGAAGAATCTATCATCAGCACACTCAAACTACACATTTGGCGTCACCGCCGACTGAACTTTGGTTCGGGTGTCGGAAACGATACAAATAAAGAAGTGAAATATCCAAGGACAATACAACTTTCAAGTGATTTCGCGCGCAGCCGACAATAAAAACTTCGTAACGCGCCTGCGCAACCTCTCGGTCTTACTTTCGACGTCTGCGCCGAGCCTTGCTCGACGAGCCGCACTTTCAATAACTATTACAAAACCTCCGGCATGTCGAATTTTCTTTCGAAAGTTATCGTAGCTAGAAATTTGATACTGTGAAGTAAGAAAATTTCACAACTGTTATTAATTCAGGTGATGTTGAAAGTGTGAAAATTGTGGAGCATTCATATGTGCCGATGAAAAACCTTACTTTATCACCACAACTGACTCATTGAGTTGAAACCATAATAAATGGCACGTTGTGAGCAACTATCATCATTAAGGAGAACTGAAAGGAACACAGTCCAAGGCCACTTGGATAACGAATTTTCGTTTAATATTAACAAATGGCAAGCACGGCCAATCGTGACGGATCCAATTGAACACGCGGATGTGTAGGATTTGTGACAAAAACACTTTCACATAATTGCTGGCCGATTATAATCACCGAGCCAAATCAACACGTTATATATGATATAATAGTTCGTAATTGACGAAATACATTTCACGCTATTACCTCGGTTGCTATGCCACTGATATAAATATTTCTAAAGAAACAAAGCAATTAATCTTGCCAATGAATTTGATAGGACCAAGGCGAATCCCACCTATCAAGTTCGACTTTTTAACTTTACATCATCAGCCTTTAATAGTCCACTGCTGGACATAGGCCTCTCCTTAGAAAGGAGGTTTTGGCCTACTACACCACGCTGGCCAGACGGGTTGGTATAGGGTTTGTATCAAGTTTTCCTGCTTTTTGCAGTGCTGGTGACCTGCGTTGTTTTGCGCCCTTAGTCGGCTCTTACGACACCCACGCGATGAATTGGGGTAGTGACATTAACTTAAACATGCTAAAAACGGGTAAATCTAGACATTCTATTACCTATGAGTAACAGAAACAGAAAACACCAAAAATACCCGAAAAATAGACCGAAAAATACATGTTAATAAGACTTGGCTATGAAAATACACATTTTATATTTCAATATAGCCATAATGTACGACGCAAAAGAATCTCTATCAGACATTAATATCTGATTAAAAAATTACATTCAACTCAAACTAAGTAGATTATATCTAAATTAACTCAATGGGGTGTACTGTCAACGAATCCGCTATTATAATACGCTCTGATATAGTCTATATAGATTTATACTGAGCTGTGATAAGCAAATCGGCCAACCACCAGGAAAGACATTTCTTGACTTTGTTTAAGCACTTGTCACATAATTAAAACCTTAATCATCTCAATAGACCCACTAAGTATAACATACTGATTGGCAATCCTATTGAACATGGATCTTATATTTTTCCGTAAGTCGTGATAAGAAACTAGTTGTACAATTCTCGGCAAGCAATAACTAGTAAAACTCTTTCATTTACTAACTCGATCACTAGTGGGTGGGTCTTTAAATGCCAGGATTAAGATTTATGATAAACATTGTTATTAGGCAATGACAAAAGTACAATGAACATACTTAGTTAAACTTTCACCAGGCGAAATGGCGGCGCGAAAGTATGACCGTTGTGCGGAAGATATCATCCCGATTTCACATGACGAAACGAATTTTTGCGTGGGTTTAAGTTAAATTTCAGGGTGTAGTAAAATCAGAATGTAATCTGTATTTTTAAGATTAATCGAATGAGGCTTTTTAAGATTAGCAATAAGGTTACTGTTTTAGCGCGTCAAATTCACAATGCTCTCCAATACTCGTAATAAGCGATTAAGATGGTGTAGAAATATTAGCATGTTTCCGACATATTTTATGGTGAATCATAAAAATTGTCGATGATGAAATATCATAATACAGTTCAAGAGTACGTGCATTTTAAGTGCTACCTGTATTGTAACTGGGTGTGAGCAGAGTTTAATTGTATTCTAACATATGTATAGAAGAATCTGAACAATGCAAGGCAATAAGGCAGTAAGTAATGAAACTGTGATAAGTCAAAATCAATGATATTTTTTTAAAGTATTTTGAGTAATTATGAGTACGTACGTACGTTAATTCGAATCAAAAGGGCCGTACCAGAATCTGACCTCAAAATAGGTATCTAGTATTGAACTTCTTATTCTACAAAAGTAGATGTGAGTGCACACGTATCAATATCAAAGAAACCATTGAATAGTGGATATTTTACACTAATGATTGTGTTTTAGTGGAGCATAGATATTTCGTAAAACCGTGAACAGACCATTGTTTTGCAATGCTTATGAAAAGGTCTGTTACAAATACTATGATAACTGAATAGTTCTGCACAACGACAGTTCACTATTTATCAATAGATCCCTTTGTAAAATATCACTTTGGCATGATATCATATTTCCGTGTTTAATTAATTCAATGGCAATAAATACACATAAAGTAAATCTTCTCATCAAGATAAACAATAGGATTATACATGACACGGTAGATGTGGGAGCCTCTTACTTGTTACAAAATAAGTTTCAATAACAAAAAAATAAATTGAAACTAAAAAAATACAAGTAGCAATTAATGTAATTCTCACAGCGGCTGATGATGTCTTTACGTAATTTGTATCTTTTGAAGAAATTCACTGTGTTATCCAATCCGTTTAGACAATGATAGTGAGGAAATGAAAGTGGAAAGCTGTTACGAGAACAGAACGACTCCGTTTATGGACGCATTAGCACGTATACAGTTAAAACAGAACCACCTAAATCGAATGCTCTACATATGATTTTTTCTAAATTATAATTTATTAAGCTAATACTAATTCCAAAAATAAAAAAAATTGTAGTTCTTATGTAATTTAACCTTAATTAAGTGCAAGTGTTATTCATATGTAAAAGTTTTATGCGTAAATATTGTGACGACATCCTTATTTTGTATAAATTCCTTCTCTTTCATTTTTTATGCGTCAATAACAAAATGGTTAGAGGACAACTGTCCTATTTCAAAAGCATGTCAAGAAAGTCACATTGCTAAACTTTCTAACATAAATCTTAAAGCTGAAAAAAAAAATCCTAGTTTCCACGGTTCTACGATTCATCTCGTCTGCCAAACCAAATGTTAACATATTTCTTTGATTTATAATAGTTGGACATTGTACAAAATCGCTTTCTTCACATTCACGTACAGCTTTATTTGCTTTAAGTAAATGTGTGTCATTAAAACCATTTGTGAACTCTCTGACAACCTACATAACCGCATTATCTTGAACGTCTTCACCTACCATAATTGCGCCACGGTTTTCATTTCTCACTGACCACCCACGCTAAATACGTGTCAACTTGCTAATACTATTATCAACTTTCATTGCATCATCGTCGTCATCAGTAGTAATTATAGTGTTTGTCCAGGCGACACCGCTTGTTACAATAATAAAGCTATCTGCTGTGCTCGTTAACTTATAAAAACTACTACAATATTTAATTTAGACCTACAGTTTATTTAATCGTCGATCTCATCTCTAGATACAATTTGAACATCTTATATGGAGAAACATCGTTTAATATATAGGTACCGTCAAGTAGGTAACAGCGGCGTAGGCGATGGCGGTACACATTGCAACGTGCCGATTCATATCCAAGGTCTTTCCTAGTGGAAGAGAACGGAGTTTCCTGCGGCCGCCTATCTCTCGCGCACACCGACATTCGCACGTGAACGCACACGCGCCCACGTGTCGCTATTCTTTGTGTTCAATCTTTCCTAGCTACCGTTGCGTCTTACGAAGCATCTTCTTTTTGTGCCGTCCGGTGGCGTTTGAAGTTTGAGCCTCCGACCGCTTCATTATATAGGCGACGGGCGATGCGCGCGCTTCGCAGTTAGTGTGTCACTAGAGCCGGCGCGAGAGGTGGCCTGCAAGGACCGTACCGCGCCAACCTTTTTTTCTGTGCGTGCGATGTTTTCACTTTCGTCATTTTGACCGGGCCAGTTTGATTTGACGTCGCTCGCGCACGGACGTGCCTAGGTTCAGGCGTTGTGATATCCTGTGATCGCTGGTGCTCTGGATTGTTTTGTTTATAATTTTTTTGTGAAAAATATGGCTGTGATAAAGTGTTAATATGTTCGATAGTAACATTTTTTTCAATTTCTACAATGAGATTGCTAATAGAAGTGCTCTACAGTTGGCAAGGTAAGGTTGTTTTGTTTGTTTACCTAAAAATTTTGTAGGTATGCGGGGATGAGCATGTAGGCGTGGGCGGTGGGTAGGTAGTCACAGTGTTCACAGTCCGGTGAGACGGTCGAGTACAACCTTGGCTCTAATGAACGCACTATTTGTCGCTTCATCCGCCTCTCGCCTTCGCCTGAGCCTCGCTCGGCGAAGAGGTTAATAGGTTCACATTAGATGGTGGTTTGCGAAATCATCGGACAGAGCTCTGAGTACAAACTGAAACCGCGCCGCTTTTCCACGGTTAGTTTCGCGCGCATTCGACATACATAGATTAAGTATGCGATCGTTCATAATTTCATTTAACAATCAATGACTACTGCAATTTAAACAAAAATGATAATAAGAAAAAAAGAACGGAACGTCGCCAAATGCTCGATGCAACAGGAGATAAGAAGAAAAAACAGAAATGCAATAAATAATAGCTAATTGATAATATTTTTAAATAATATTTTATTTTCAAAACCTTCGATGACGGACAATGTTTTCGTTGTATCATCACCGTTTTGTTTCATCGAGGTGTGTTAATGAACGGCAATTAAGTACCTGTTTAACCGCCAATTTCACTTTTGATTGCTCGTGCATAAAATTGATTTCGGAACTGATCAATACCTACTCGTTTCGCAATAGTAAAAGTTGACTCATTACTTTTGACACGTAATTATCGAATTTATTGTTGTGAACATTATGTTTCGTTTAACCAAGACCTTCAGCTAATATAATATTTACTGCTTTAAAGATGTTATCTAAACTGCCGCAGTGTCGTCATCAATAATGTAAAAAATAACATTGATCAGAGTTGACATTCATAATTAAACATATTTTTATTACAATACAAATACGTTATAAAGTTGAAACAACAAAAATATTTAGTTTTACATAAATTTAAACATAGTAAAAGCATACATATAGGTGATGTATTTCGGTAATTAATTTTTATCCAAGGCCTCCAAATAATCTTTGTGATAAATTCTGTTATTGACCAACAGGTATCATTTTCATTGAGACTAGCGTGACTATCGATGGAGCACATATTTTAAAATAATTCCCCCACAAAAAAAAACACAAAATCAAAAATTTGCTTATGTCTGACAATAAATTTGGGTTATCTACCTGTCTTTTATTGTTCTAAATTTAACATAAACATGAATTTAAACAAATAAAAACATACTAAACCAGAACAGAATATTACAAACAAGGTAACAACCGAACTTTGATAGGTAGCGTTTGAAACAAAACACAATAGAAATGATATGCTACAGTTTAAGTACGTGATTTATCTACTGTATTGTGTCAAATGCCTTAATACTTGAACTACAAAGAAAAGGTACAAACGGTAGGTAGCCTCTGCGCAATGCGCAGAAACTTCTTAATAGCGTCCAAAATTGCTATAGGTATGGATATTTTTTCTTTTCTTTCTTTAAAAAGACAACTCCCGCATTAGGAATAAATCCTGTGTCGCGGGGGACTTTACAAACATACATGAAACGGACACAAAGAACACCCAGACTCAGAACAACAATTTGTGGATCACACAAAGTGTCGTCCCATGTGGGGTTTGAACCCACAACACTCGGCGTAGTAGGAAGCGGCGTGGCGACCTCTTAAACCACTACGCCATCCGTGCAGTCAAATAGTATAGTTATATTTCTAGCATTCATATTGATGGCCATCTTCAACATTCACCTATTTAAAAGCTTATCATATAGGTAAAATGTCAACAATAAAATCTTAAGAGTAACAAAAAAATACTTAAAAATTTGGCTTCCAATTATTGGCAACATAACCTTCATATTATTTATGACAAAGTAACTTTCAATTCTACGTAATGACTATAATTCGAAAACCTCCAAACGAAATTTCAGAAATTCCCTATTTCGGTTAAGGGCGAATTGAAATACCATCATTTAATATTCCTACAATGCTACCTATCGAAATTTCATCCAAAATTGATCAGCAGATGAGCTATGATGATAATTACGCAATGTGAATTGATACTGATGTTGGTAGAGAGAATTGTGTCAATGGAGCTGAAACTGAAGCTGGCAGTTGGCACGAGTCAACAATTAAAGGGCGAGTTACGAATGATCGCCCAATGCCGTTTTTCTATTTGACTTAACGAGTATCGCACGTATATTTAGTGTTCCGCAGTACAACAAAAATATACACTGCAATGTTCCATTCATGTCTAATTTTAATTAGAAATTAATTCAAATTAGACTGGTTTCTAGTAAGATTAGATTCATATAATAGTATGTGTTTAGAAATAATTTATTAGACATAAATCTGATCTAATCAACAAAGAACTAACATAAATTGCTATACAACAGATTAAATATATCAGATTTGAGCCTAAAATATTATAACTTCTTCACATCATCATCAACAGCCTTCAATAGTCCACTGCTGGACATAGGCCTCTCCTTAGAAAGGAGATTTTGGCCTACTATACCACGCTGGCCAGACGGGTTGGTATAGGGTTTGTGTCAAGTTTTCCTTCTCTCTGCAGTGCTGTTGTTCTGCATAGTTTTCTCCCTTAGTCGGCTCTTACGACACCCACGGGATGAATAGGGGTGTGACACTGTATTCTTAATCCGTCACCACACGGACGACTTCTTCTTCTTAAACTATACATTTATTTTAATTAAACGTTTAATTTAATTATTACAATGTCGAATCTTAAAAATTTCATCTTATAAAAATTGTAAATCACAACAAACCTTGGTATTCAGATGTGGTATTATGAAACGATTTTAATTTACTATTATAGATGTAATATTTAAAAACGTGTTTATAGATCGACCTTCATTCAATAATGTTTAAGACGATGGGTGCCACGATAATAGTAAACGTAAACGTAAACTTTTTAAATACGGCTATTTTGCCGTTAAAACTAAGAGCTGCATAGTAGAAAGGCGATTTGAAAACCAAAAACCATGACGGCCTTTAACTGCACTGAATCTGGCCAAGAATGAAGGAGATGAAGATGATGGACGTTTCCATCATCTTCATCTCCTTCATTCTTGGCCAGACCAGGCCTTGTGACTGTTTGTAAAATTTGTTTTTGTTCTAAAGTGATATTCTAAGAATTTATATTATGTTGAAAGATAATGGAATTGATTAAAAACAATTAAATGTAAAAATACAGAAGTTTCCAATTTATACAAACTCAACAATTCAGACTGCATTTATTCAACATGATGTTATTTTTTTAAAATATAAAATTAATTTGTGTTGAATTACACTATCCATTTGTTTTAAATGTGTTAAAGTTACCTGCGCTACAATTATGTTCATGTGTTTTATCACACATCTCAAAGCCAAGACCAAGATAGTAAAAGCTTGAATGGCGTTTATGCTTCTTGAAAAACCTTCAAAACATTTCGAAGAAGCCTTGGTTTACGGTACTGTTAACAGTTAAGAGATAAGATTTTTTTATTTGTCTAACCTTTAATTTCTAGTTGAATTTTATCGAATTATCACTTATCTGTACTTTGTAATAGATACTCAACCAAGATAATTATGGTTCTAATACAGATATTTATTTGTTAGAAATACTGTGGTATATTTTGGAACTAAATAATTCAAAGGGCATTTACCACAAGACTATATCGTTAGAGATTTTTTACATTAGAATAAAATCAATAAAAATCTTAAGTTTTTTCCTCTAAAGCAACTACTTTATTAAAATCACAATAAACAGTTTCGCATTACTAAATACGACATTAATTACCTACGACAATATTTATTTTACGCAATATCAAATGTGGCTTCCGTGTGGAACAATCCGCTCCTTTATCATCTACACGTGGTCACAAACTAGATTCTTTTCCTTCTGGAGTTTGCATAAACTAATTACCAACAAGTCCAAGGGCCTCTGTTTGTTCATTATAATCAACTTGTTACAAATACTTGTAACATAACCACAAATGTAACTGTCGTCATTAGGTCACGCTATGATTTGATTGTAACTCCTGTTTCCTGGAAATATGTTGCTGCTACTGTGAATTTATCATGATCATTATACAGAACGTTGCGTAACAATTATCATCTATTCAATAAATAGGAAAACTCTTAACTTTAATTAATATCACCGTCCATTATTATCTTGAAAAGTACTTCTTCACAAAAAGATAGAGATTAATAAAGATAAGATTAAGATTTAGAAAATATAGAGAACGAGGCGGCGTAATCTATGTGACCATCTAGCAGTAAAAACGCTCGCTGAACTGGTTTCGTGAAAATCTAAATTTTCAATGAACTCATAACAAGTTAAATGCATCATTTGTTCGCAGGCTTACGTGCTTAGAAACTAGGTTTACAACGTAGAAACGCAAACATTTCTAAAATCCTAAATGCGAGCCGAGCCGCTCGGTGTTATTTTGCAATCGGCATTTACTCCTTGCAAAGTCGACATAAACATTTTCTCAGATCGACAAATATATTCGGCACCGATACGCACATTCCCATCCTAATTAAAAATGTCTCAACTACTTTATCGTTCAATGAAATTTCTTCATAGTTCTGGCGTACCATTTGACATTGAACTGAATTAAAAAGCGTTATCAGAGGGCTTGATCCGTTTGTCAGCAGTGTGTGGCGATTGTGAAATACTTCTAATATTTGGACAGTAGTTACATGGAGGCTCATTAACACATTTTCGTTTGGTTTTAATTATTATTTAATCGGATTTTAATGTATTTTTAGAACTCAAATGTGATGTTACTACTGTCCGTGTTTTGCTATAACACTGTTAGCTAGTAGTTTTAGTATAGTCATATTAAAAATAGCAACTAAAATATATAAATCCATTATGAAAGTATCCATGAGTAAAAAATCGATAAACACCTAAAAATTCATTCGAGGACATAAGCATCGAGCAGTATGGTAACAGTAATAACAATACTAAGCGGCAAATATATTTGTTCATAGAGAACTATTGTAAACAGACAATAACATTTAGC